CATGGAGAAGATGAAAAGGTTTCACAGGCAAAAAGACTGAACACAGAATGTTAAATATATCGTGAAGGAATTGTTTGTTTAATTATGAGAAATAATATGTTTAGTTCAATGTAATAAAATTAGTGATTTTTTTCATCACTGTTACGATTTTTTATTGTAAACCCCTCTTATTTTCCAAAAAAAAAAACCGTACGTGACAGGGGGAAATTGAGGTCATTTTTGGATTCAGCATCCTAGAAAACATAAAGTTTACCAAAAATATTCCATGCAGCTGAAAAAAAATATTTTTGCAGACCTGTGCAATTAGAGAACTCGAAATTTGGTAAGTTATACAGCAAGTCTGAGTGCCACGTGGTATCAAAGGATTTTTCGATGTCCAAGAACACTGCAGCAGTAAACATATTATTGTTGAAATTAAGGGTCACATGTTCCGCCAGCGTCACACATTGCAATGTCGTGCTGTGATGTGCATGAAAACCAAACTGGCTTGCGTTGATGAGGCCTCTTTCTTCAATATCTTTACGGAGGAATTTCAAAATTATATTTTAGAATAGTTTTCCTGTCGTGGACAGGAGGCTGATCGGACGTAAATTTTGAGGAAATTTCGGGTCTTTACCTGGTTTGGGTAAAGTTATCATTTTTGCTTCCTTTCAAGTATTTGGAAAATGAGAAAGCCGAAAACAATGATTGAATAAATGGGTTGGGTAAACCAATGGTCGTCTTGGAAGGTGCCTGAGGCATTCATTTGGGATGCCGTCAATTCCACAGGCCCTTTTTAATTTCAGGGATTTTATTAATTTTTGAACGTCACGTAGTCTGATCCTTTGAGGGGGGTTGTCGTCTACAGTTTCCAGCAGAGTTTGAACTCTAGCCTCCACCCGCTTTTCGTCGCACAGGTCATGTGGCGTGAAGTGAATTTCCAAACAGTTGGCAATTTCGTTGGCTTTTTCAGAAGGATAATATTTAAGGCCAGAAGAACCATGAATATCAGTTGGTGCCCTTGGTCCGGCTCTCTTAAGGAGGAATTTCGCAATGGGTCATATACTCTGAGGTGTGACTTCAGCGTGACCTATTTTTGTTTCCCACCGTTCAAGTGCCATTTTACGGGTCATTCGCCTGATTGATTTGGTGACCCAATCAACTGCCGTTTTACAAGCTGGATCCCTGGTTTCTTGCCACAGTTTTCGTAGCCTCTGTTTATATTCTATCAAATGATCTAGACCAGGAAGATCGTTGTTTAAGACCGAAAGTGTTATTTTACTTGTCGACAACTGATATGCCGATGCAATAGAGGCTGCAAGGTCGCGCNTCCTTCGCAGGGTTATTGTGAGGGAGGTGATGGATTACAGCCTTTATGGGTTTTAGGGACTTGGGAAAGAAGGTAAAGTAAGATAGTTTATTGTTTGATAGATGAGACTTGATGGCTTCGAAATCCGCCATGCTTTTGGTGAGGACTCTTTGATACCCTTTGATACTCTTTGGTNTCAGAGACGATGACATCTGACACTCTGATATTTTTGTGAACCACAATGTCTAACACGTTACCATTTCTCGCAGGGGAATGATGAGTGAGTCACTGTGGTGCTGAGATTTCGAAATCACTCATATCAAGTAAATCCATAAGTTTCAATCCTGAGGGGTTCGAAACTCTGCTGTTCCAAAATGGGTTCTTAGCATTCAAATCTCCTGCCAAAATAGATTTTTCGTCTGAAGCTTAAGAGCTCAGTGATGTCGGCATCACTCCAGGCTCTGCCTGGAGATTTATAAACAGCTGCATGCAGTACTGTACTTCGCTATTACCAATTGGTATGCAGACCCCTGTCGCTTCTACTGAAACAAGGGGTGGTAGGTCTACATGGTTATGGGGAAGCCTTTTCTGCCTGAGTGGCGGTCGATTCTATAAAAGTGGTAATTTGGAATAAAGAACCTCTCATGAGGTTGATGTGTCTCTGAAAACAGGGCCACATCTACCTGTAGGTTTTGCAGCTGTTTACTGAGCTCATAGTGCTGCCTCCCAATGCTGTTTGCATTAAATGCTATGATTTTGAGGGGCCTATGACCTCTAGTGGCCATTTTGTTTCATTAGGTTTGGAACAATTTTAGTAATAGCCATTATTTTTTCCTCCTCGGACACTGCACCACTGACCTCTGTCATAATCTGCTGTACTACAGTCACTACTCTCAACATATTGTCGAGAGATGGACTGTTTACATGAGTAGCCTGAGCTGACTGACCTGTTTTTTTGTTCCTATATAAGGACCGGGACGCTTGGTTTCGTGGCATCTGGTGGAACTGGCACTGGAACTTGGCGAGCCTGGGGTCGCTGCTCCTGCGATATGCTGCCTCGGAGCGCCGCCACGAAGGAGACTCCAGGGGTAACGATATTCGAGGAGAACACTCTTCCTGTTGTGGTTTTGGGTGCAATCTGCGAGTTCTTCCACTGCAGCTCCTCCTTCGCGTGTCTGCAGCCCCGATAGTTGGTGGGATGGGGCTTCTCTCCTTCCTTCAACTGGCAATTGCAGCAAGCTGGAGTGAAGGCAGCGTTCTCCTTCTCTGGACACTCTTCTTACAGGCGGCCACCCACACACCACATGCAACGGGGAGGTTGTTTGCAATCGGCCCAGACGTGGCCAAACTGTTGGCAGTTGTGACACTGCGTAAGGCCACTCTGTGCTCTATATGCTTCAACCCAGATGGAAATGTGGCAAAGGCTTTTTATTTTGAAAATTTCTTGTGATTTTGCCGTTCGGAGTAGGGTGATAAGGAGGACAGTAAGGTTTCTTGATATCCTTTCTTCTGAAGGCGACCCGCGGGTGGTTGTCATCTGTTTGACGCTAACCACGTCAAATCTCAGGGCCACCAGTCCATCAGATATATCCTTCGCAGGGTTATTGTGAGGGAGGTGATGGATTACAGCCTTTATGGGTTTTAGGGACTTGGGAAAGAAGGTAAAGTAAGATAGTTTATTGTTTGATAGATGAGACTTGATGGCTTCGAAATCCGCCATGCNGTACATTCAGGGTCTCGGTTGAAGGCGAAATGTCAACGCCAAGGGTAATACAAGCAGGGGTGCCACAAGGTTCTGTTCTTTCCCCTACCCTTTTCAACTTGTACATAAATGATGCCCCCCAAACTCATAGTGTTCACCTGGCCCTCTTTGCGGACGACACCTGTCTATATGCGACAGATCGCAAGGAGGGTTTCATTGTTAGAAAACTCCAGTGCGGTCTCAGCTCAATGGAGACCTGGTGTGAGCGCTGGAATATAAAAATTAATGAAGATAAGACTCAGGGGGTATACTTCTCTCGTGGGTATCGACCGCCTGAGTCTTGTCTTACTCTTAATGGACGAAATATTCCATTTTTAAATAGTGCAAAATATCTAGGTGTAATCTTTGATAAGAGAGTTTTATGGAGATTACACATAGAAATAATCGAAGCGAAGGCCTTCAGAACATTCATTAGAGTATATTTCCAATTCAAAAGTGAGCGATTGAGCGCTAACTATAAACCGACCCTCCATAAAGCTCCTATTAGATCCGTAATGACTTATGCTAGTCCCGCCTTGGAGTTTGCGGCAGACGCCCATCTGGTGAAATTGCAGCGCCTGAAAACAAGGTTCTCCGCACCATTGGAAATTTTCCAAGGCACACCCCGTACATATATGACTTTATAACAAAATTGTGCAGGCAACAAGCAGAAGTCAAACAAAATCATGAAAATGAGAATGTTCGCATTATTGGTCAAGGTTAAGCCCAACACAAAAAGTATAAGAGGCTTAAACTTGGTGGTGGTCAGGCATACGACTGTTCAAGTGACTAGACTGCCATGGTAGCAAATAATACAAGAAATAGGGCATAATCTGCTGTACAAAGCCTGGACTGACAGAGGCCTTGTAATTATTGTACATAAAAATAGGTATTAAGACTAGAATTAAAAAGTATATAAATTATTATATTATATAAATACGTGTATGTATCAATACTGAGAATGGACTGACTAAGACTGACAAATGACACACCCGACCTCTCGTGAGAGAGGGTGCCCCAAATGGACAAGACACTAACTAACACTAACTGCTTAAGCAAGCCTACGGGGAGTCTGCTCTATCATATGTGCAAGTTACAAGGTGGGTGAAGAAGTTTAAGGAGGGCCGAAACCGAAGAAGGCGAAGATGAGCAAATCCAAAATGAAAACAATGCTCATCGTCTTTTTCGACGCCAAGGGTGTGGCCCACAAAGAGTTTTTACCCCAAGGGCAGACCGTCAACGCTCCCTACTACGTGGATGTTCTAGAAAGATTAAGGAAAAGGGTCATCCGCGTGCGAAAAGACATCGCCGCCAACTGGCGGCTGCATCATGACTGTGCCCAGCCACATGTCTCTGATCATCCGTGAGTTCCTGGCGAAGGACCACGTGGCAACGCTGCCGCAGCTACCCTACAGCCCCGACCTAGCTCCGGCTGACTTCTTTTTGTTCCCGAGGATCAAGACTGCACTCAAAGGACGCCGTTTTGAAAGCATTCAGGCTATCCAAGCAGCCGTGACAACAGCTTTTCATTCATTCATTCATTTATTGTACATTCCATAAATCCATATATATATAGATATAGAACCAGTCACATAGTTAATATAGTACAATACAAATATAAATATATATGTACAGTTTATAATCATTAAAATAGATAAAAAAACATGTGTTAAATTTATATAAAAAANATAATGCAGATCACAGATAGATCTGGTACTACAATTATGCATTTGTGAGTTGAAAGTGAACAATTCCTTATTTACTATGACAAACAGAGAGATCGACAATATATATTGAGCTTGTAGGGGGAGGATATCCAATTCTTGAAACAAACTACGACACGATGTTCTCTTTGTTGTATTTGTTATAATCCTAATTATCCTTTTCTGCATCCTAAACACTTTTATACTATGCGGGGAGTTACCCCAGAATATTATTATTATGCATAACTATAAATGGTTGGAATGTGGGAAGCAGTGTTGTGAAATAATATTGTAGTTCATAAAATAACAATAGGACATATATTAAACTAAAAAATTGCTGTAAGGATATCATATATTATCAAAATTCTCAGCATCTTCGGTCATTAGACTACCTTACTTATTTTGGAAAAATAAAAGGAGGCTTATGATATCATCATGCTGTCTATCAGTGCATGGTTCCTATCGCTGCTAAGCAACAGCTTGGTAAACATGTACCAGCAGCAATAAATAAACATGCAACAATAAAATTGTTGCGTCATTTTCCTTCCAGTCTGTCATATTGTCACGTGTCCAGGGTTCTCTGACAAATAATTGTGGATTCTTAGATTTTATGATTGCATTTGTTGGATGTTACTACACATTTACACTCAGTTACAACTGTTTGTGCACATTTTCTGTGTTCACTTGCACTTCACTTCTGAACTCTTGACTTTGCTCCTGAGCTCTGCCATGAATTCTTAACTCTGCTTATAACTGCTGGCTGCAATTCTGACTATGGAACTCTCCTATCATTTCTGTATCTTTTTCCACTTCTCTTTTCCTCTCGCTTCTGTGTCTCCTCAATTCTGACTTCTCCTGGTCTGTTATAATCAACAGTTGGACCGTCTAGAAGACACCTTGTTCAAGGGTCCTGTTTCACATGTTCTATCTGCTGGTAGGTAGTGTATTTTTTACCACAGAAACTGCACTAGTCCTGGCTTTCATTTCTGTCGCAACGTCTGTTATGCATGTGTTGTCGCGTGAACCTTTTTCATTGTCACCCTGATGATAAGGAACCGTGGATATTGAGTTGTTGCCTAATAATGGATGCCCACTCTGACTTAGATATTCTGGTTTTTAGGTGGCATGCCACAATATTAAAGGAAAGCGCATGATTAGTTCTTTAGACCAAGATACAGGGGCTACCAAAAATAATGCCATGATTTCAGGAACTTTGTAATGAAAACATATATGAGGGTGTTGTTTGCAGTTATTTATTCATTAACTGAAACAGCTTTTTAGAAACAAGTGGAAAAAGTTCTTTGGTGTGAAACACTTCACAATGAGAACCATCCCACCTACAGTCAACCTCTTGCCAGACATGCTGTAACATATTCTTTGTAACATTTGCAGTTGCTGCAGTGATCTGTGCTTTGAATTCATCCAGCATATTCACTCTTTGGCTGTGTACCTGTACCTGTCCACAGAGACCCAAAGAAGTCCAAAGGTGTGAGATCAGGAGAATGAGGGAACCATAAAATTGGTCCTCATCCTACCTATCGATCTAGGAAATTCACATTCAAACCGTGATGGGCAATGTGAGCAAAATGAACAGGTGCACTGCACAGTTGAAGAATGAAATTGTTGTTGTTTACTTGTGGAAGAGCACAGTTTTCCAACATGTCAAGGAATGAACTGATTCTACTGAATGTATGACCTGAGGTTCTCACAGCAGTGGTTATGAAGAATTCAATCTTCTGGGATATGCTCTTTCACATGATTCAGCCGTTTTTACCTCATCAGTTTTAAAGGCTACAGTGACTGTATTCCTGATGAGAGGGATTTATGATGTACACCAATGAGGTGACTTCAGGTGGCATAATACGTGTATATACATACAAAGTTTCATGAATACTACGTGGATGTTCTAGAAAATATTGAGCCATGAATTAAAGTAATATTGAGCCATAAGTTGTATTTATGGCTCCTTTCAGTAGCTTCTTTCCCTACCCCCCCTTTCCCAGGAAGTTCATGTATCTCTCAAGAGAATGTTTTTTTATGAGGGAGTGGCTGGCTGTCAATGTGGTAAGTGAGCGAAATTCAGTTTATGGTTTCACAGCAGTAATTTGAAAGGCTGTAATGTTTATATTACTGATGGAAGGGATTTACAAAGTGCATCTTGAAATGGGCTCAGGTGGCATGATATATGTACCAAGTTCAATGATGGCCGCGCCATAGCTCAAGCAGTTAGTCGCTGGCTTCCCATTGTGGTGGCCCAGGTTCGATCTTGGGTCTGGTCAAGTGGGATTTGTGGTGGACAAAGTGGCGCTGGGGCAGGTTTTCTCTGAGTACTTTGGTATCCCTTGCCAATCTTCAGTCCACCAATTGCTCCACAATCACCCTCACCTATCATCTGGGGCTGGTACAATACGCCAGAAGTGGCTGCAGTACAAGGGATTTAGTCCCACCCCACTAGCAATAAAAAAAGTTTGATGATGAATGCTTCAGCCATTTAAGTAACATACCACAACAATTTGAGAGGCTGTGTGTTGGTACTACTGATCCAAGGGCTTTATGGAGTATTCTGTTGAGATGACTTCATGTGGCATGGTACTCATATTAAGTTTCATGAAGAATAGTACAGGTATTTGACCAATGTTAGGGTTTTGCCTCAGAAATTCGATATGCTGTAATGTTGGTTATTACTGATGGAAGCGATTTATGAATTATGTGGTTGAGATGGGGTAAGGTGCCATGATATACATTCCAAGTTTTATATAGATTGGGTCAGGCATTCAAAAGTTAATAGGTGGATATACATACAGGAAGGTGCTCTCATAAGCCTACTTTAATCAATATAAGTAAGCAAAAAACACTGGGTCTCTTAAATAATTCCCTGAAATCTAATTCATTCCAAGAAGCTCACGACTAAAACTGCATACATTTCCGTACCTAGAGTAGCGAAATTTTCATAATGCTTCCAGAGAAGACATGTTTATAATGAATTGATATGTACATTCTTCTCAATAGAGAAGTTTAAACTTTTAGAAGAAAAACTCCAAGCATAAAAAAACAATGGTTGTAACATGTATACCAAATTGAAGACTATGTGCTTTCAAAACAGATCACAAAATAGTATCCAACAGGAAAGAAATAATTTGGGTGTCTATTTAGAAGGCTACCAGATGTGTGACTGCTGGGGCCAAAACATGTTGCCCTTAAATGGCCAGACTTTGTGGTGGAATATGACAATGACGATTATCTTGTAATAATGTTAATATTCTTCCTGGAAATAGC